CTGTTTTCCTTGGGTCACTTGTCTGAGAGTTAAGGATTTGGAACAGCGTGGGTGAAGGATCTGGGGAGCTGGCAAGTCCAATCTCTGATGTCAGTGCAATACACTGGATCCACTTCATGTTACTCCACGTTTTGATGTTGCTTCCTCGATTGTATGTGTCACTGACAGCTGTGGATACAATGAGTATACTAGAGTCTAAATTGTCAGTGTATAATTAGTGCAAATTTATTTAAATATATTTCTAGCGAAGATTGCATTTACACATTCAGTTCTGAATGGCAATCTTTTCAGTTTTGGATGACCAAAGTCAATGCTTCCTCTTATGCTTTCCTCTTCCTCTTATTTGCCTGTAATGCACACATGTGCATTACAGGCAAATTTGGATAGTTATTGGGAGCATCGAGTACATTAGTATTTGCTAACCCCAACAGCTGGAATCTGCTTAACTGGCTGCCAAGTGGAAATTGGCCCCTCTCATGCATGCACAAAGACACTTATTTTCATAACTATGTTTTTATGTTTAGGCCAAGTATCCAAGTTTTATCCAAGTAATACAGTATTTTTTAAAAAATCCCCTCTGAAGTAGAGCACTCTTGTTATATGCCTGAGTACTAGTTTAAGACAGATTTCCATTAACTCTTTTAATCTTGCCCCACTTTGTACATTGCAATCCTTTTTAAAGTCCATTCATTCTCTGACCTCTGGTTTCGAGCTTGTGCCTTTACTTCTCTTGAGGGCAAACCAGAGCTGTCTGTTGTGACTCACACGGCAATGTTAATTAGTTTTCTCCTATTTTCTATGAGATTGCAACTCTTGTTGGTAAGAGGTAAAGTACGAGAATGTCAACATTTGGGGAATGGAAAGTGCAAAAATATGTCCACTGGATGGAGTGGGATAGAGATACCACTGTGCTGCACGCTCTCACTTAGATTTTATTTTCTTAAACCTAAGTGTATCCAATTATATTTGTAACTTTCTCCGCACTCGAGTACATTTCTTTGCTCTGCTCCCTGGCCTCCTTTAGCTGCGGGGCAGTTCCGTGAACCCTATTTGCTCTCTGATACCCTCTCCACTTGTTCATGTGTGAGCCTTGGCAAACCACCGCAGTTCTGAGAACCTGACTTCTCTCCACCCGGCTGCTGCACATCAGTAGAGGTTAATGCAGTGGGACCAGGAGTTGGAAACCCAACTGGTTTCCCTTCCCTAACTAATTTAGCCTCTGCCATGCAGTCCGAGATTAAACAAGCACAAAACTGGGAATTGAACTAAGGAGTTAGCTGCAAATCTATCCATTGTGCCATTGGAGCTTCATCTAGTTTATAACAACCTTTTAAGTGTTCACTTTATTTGTTTGAAAATGGGCCGGCTTCATTCACGTTGCTAGATGCTTTATGTCACTTCAATAATTTGAATGTTCTTGGCCAGATTTTAACTAGGTGTGACAAGAAATACTGAAATGTAACTGGGTATTGCTGGCAAGTCTGCAGTCTAACTGCCAAACAAAGCGAACCAGATGTCAAGCTGCCTGTCTCCACTAGTGGTCTGGGAACTTAACCCCTGGAGAATTGCGGGAACATTTGTGAACCAAATCATGTGGGGGGGGGGGGGAAGAAAAATTCCAGCAACTTACATTGTGAATTAGGAGATGTGCTGGCATTGCATTTCAGCTGGAGCACTTTTCTCCTTCAGAGAACCTTTAGTGTTTACAGAAGTTCAACATTTTATTGATTTTTGATGATGAGTGGTTTCTTTTAGAGTTTGCTGCTTTTAGTTGTTTTCTAACAACTGTGAGACATGAGGCACGGAAATTAGAAAAGGCATACTGAGCGTGCTATGCTCAGCCAGGAAAACTTGTTGGCTTGAGAGAAGGGGAGAGGAAGACGTAAATCTAATAAAGTTACTGTATAACTAAAAGATGTCTAATAATGTGCATCTAACTTGCTGAGCTGGCACTTTTGTGGTTTCTGGCATTATCCAACTCCCTGCAACTTTGTAACATAGACTATCAAAGGCACATTGACCTCTATCAAACTTTGACTAAATATTTTCCCAGTTTCTGGCCCTTGGAAGTATAACTGAATTTTAAGTTTGAATACGTTTCACGATTGGAGCTTTCATTGAGTTTTTACACGTGTGATGCAGAAGACACTTATCATACGAAGACCGCAGGGGGTGTGAGAAGAATGTGACACCTATTGAATTGGAGTAAACTTGTCACAATTGGATTGTTCACATCACAGTGATGTTTGTAAGACCCCATTTTCCCTGAAGGTGTTGTTTTGTGTCAGATCTGTAAGTACCCGCAGCCATCTGGTCTATTTTCTATGTAGCCATTCTTCATGTTTGATGAACTAATGCAGTGAAAGTGGGGAGGTTACTTGTCAATGGGAGTCACAGAGTCAAGTCTCATACTATCACGACTGTTTGTGGGACACTGCTGTGCGCAATCGGCTGCCGCACTTCACCCACAAAATATACAGTCAATTAACTTTACAGTATTTTCTGTGAAACATTTTGAGACATGTTGAAGATGTGATAAGGTGCTATATCATTTGCTATATCATGGTAATTTAAAGTTCAGCTTCTCCTCACTCATTTCTTCTCCCACCCCTGTAGCTTGGGGGGTATTGAGGTCAATTGCAGCATCTCATAACTATTTTGTCTGAGATCAAGGATCAGGATCAAAGCTGGGACCGTTTTATTCTACTTGTCTTATTACGGTACCACACAGTACATTTACCCAAAGAGCTGTCCCAACAATTTTTTTATATAAGGATCCTTTTATAATCTAGCCTGCTAAGAGACTGGTGTGTGCTAATGCAATTAGTTACACTGTTCACAAAAGAAATCTAACTTGTATATTTGTAAATATTAATGCTATTACTTAGTAACCAATGTTCTCTGAAACAAATGAGGTAAAGGGTAAGCAAAGAAAAAAATCTTCTGCAACGTTCTTTCCATTTTAAAAAAAAAGTGCGTGGTGTATTTCTGTGGAACCGCAATATTAGTAAAGTTGTGACAGTTCTTAGTACTGCAAATATTTTAAATAGTTGTCCACTGAGGAAGCAATACTTAGCTGGAGATGTGAGAGTTTTTATTTGGAAAAAGTGGTTGCATTTTGAACTTGAAAAATTCCCGACATTAAGTACATGATTCTGTAATTAAATTTATTAGTTTCTCTCTTTGGCTTCTGCCAACAGAGATCAGCTGGGAGGTCAGAATGATCTCAGTTCTGGGTTTCAGGGGCACTGCTCCTTGTTTGTACAGATAGGGTACTCGGGCAACTCCAGTGTAATCTGCACAGCATTTTCTCTCGGAAATGTTAGCAAAGTTCGGTATGTTTCTTTGAGTCCAGTTTCATTTAAAATCACAAACATGATCTGGTTTATTTCACGATTCATTCTCATTGTGAGGAAGTACAAGAGGAACGCGGTTTCCTCTTTTGGGTATCTGTTTGATTTCATTTATCTTCTTAGAAACTCCTTGGTGACTTTTAAGGAAAATGACATAATCAGTCCAGCTTGATATTACTGATACTTGCTTGAGGGATTTGGTTCAAAAGAAAAAGACAGACATATAGGACGAGTAAATGAGGATGTCCAAGTTATGTACAGTATCAGAAAATTAATGGGTGCACGGGAACATTAAAATTACTCGTGCAGTATCACTGAAATTCATATCCACTAGTAAACAAACAAAGGTTGGAAAGTGTATCTTCAAAAGTATTGCATCGTTGAATCAAGTACGATGGTTCCGAATATTTTAGTGCACGACCCATTCTGTTTTCTCGACCTCCATGGCTGGATTGACAGCTGATGAACAGCCGCAAATTGCGGTTTGATTGAATGGCAGCACAATTCAGTCACTCCAGGTGACTGAGATACTTCATTGTGGATTCCCACAGAATGTGCAATAACAGGATCCCAATGACCTTGTTTTCAACCATCATTCAAACCTTGTGGTTATGGTATCTGTAATTGTAACTGTATCTGTAATATATACAACATTTTAGCATTTGGCTTTGTAGTCCTTTCATTCCAGCAGAGCTATTGTTACATTATACTACAATCCTTACTGATGGTGGCACAGCATCACATGAGAGGATGGAACAAAGCTGTGCTTTCACTGAATTTGGCATGAACTATGCGTAATAATTCCAGCAGGATTTATTCACAATGAAAAACCCAAACAATAAAACTAGCTGGCAGCAAAATATTTTGTTTGCGTTGATCACGTACAGTGTATCCTTGTGATCAAATACAGTCAAACATGTTCAAACAACCACCTTTATTCAGCAACCGCTTCCTGTTAACCAGTCTGGTTCACTCACCAAAGGACCTTTACATCACCCGTATGTAAAGACCATTTTTGCCCAGTCCCCTGAGAGGTTAGTCGAAGCGAGGTTTGACTGGAGTAACATTCTGTATGTTAAAACGTGTGTATCTTTTGTGGCAACCTGTGTTTTTTTTTTTGCTCGGTTGCCAGAACATTAACAGGATTATAGTAATTATAATATATGGTAATTAAACAACAAAGTAACACAAGTTTATTTGATGAACTGAATGAATGGCAAACTTTTGTCCCTTGTTGCTTGTCTGACTACAGCAAGAAAATTCTGCTGCAGCACCTGGAATTACTGCGCTAAATACTTGTCTCAACATGAAAGGGTGTTGCTCCCAATGCTGAAGAATCCATTTCGATGAGTAAGCGGGGCCTTGGTCTAACTTATGCCATAGACAACACTTTATTCCCTTGGTCAAGTATTGTAAGTGGCAGTGTCTCCACTTTATTCCCTCCGCTACAAACTTGCATTGGCTGTGTGATTGTGCAGTTATTTTAATACCGGTGAATGTTGCCAACTGGTTTCTGAAAGGATTAAAGAATCCTGTTTCTGGGCTACAAACTGTTCAGCTCAGGTACCTATGTATTTACAATGCGGGGTGGCTCCATTTGATTTGCCGATTTATTTGAAGCGACATTAATATAACTAATTATTTCAGGTGACCGGCCTTTCAAAGACAAGCCCAATGAACCAGTCGAGTTTAAATCATACCAGTGGTTTGGAGCATCCTTACGAACTAAGGACGACAAAATTCTGGTAAATATTTCATGCAACTATCTGTGTGGAGTTTTGTTTAATGTTTTTTCTCACACAATTGCATACAAATACAGCCTTCTGCACTTCACAGTAAAAATCCTGTGAAAAGCTTTGAGATGTTGGGACAATGTGTGAAGTTGCTATATCAGATGCAAGGATAATGGTTTTTATTATTTATTTCTCAATAACCAGATCCCCTCTCCACCCCCCAACATCCTCCATCCGCTTGATTCCAACCCCCAGTTCAAGTGTAAATCCTTTACTGTTTAGCATCTTGGGATGTCCTTCCAAAGTGAAAGATTCTATATTAATATAACTTGGTTTTGGTGTTAATGTGCAAGAATTTCATTGGTTATCTCGAACTGTTGATGACCACAGTTTTTTTTCTGGGGTTCAATACAGATATATATCACCATACTTCAGACTGTCAAAAGCACAGTGGTATTTATTTCCTTTCCAAAGCTAACTTGTGCATCAGCTCTTGATTTTATATCTGTGTGTTGCATTTTGTCCCTGGTCCACAGGCTGCATAACTGTGGGCCTCTAACAATAACCAAGAGAGGGTATGACAATGCCCTCTAATTTATATTTCTACCAATGATGAAGTGCCTGTGGGTGTCTTCTCTAATGGTTTTCTTCATCGCAAATGTTCCTACATATTCTGACTTCATATGGTGGTCAAGAAGCTTTGTAAAGTGAGGTGTTGCTAAACTTAATTGAAAATTAACCAGCCCTCATTACTTTACCGTTGTGTGTCTAGGCCTGTGCTCCCCGCTACCATTGGAGAACACTGAACCGTCAGGAACGAGAGCCAGTGGGTACCTGCTTTCTAGCTGTTGGGGAAAAGATTGTGGAATATGCACCTTGCCGATCAGGTTAGTCTCAGATAATGTGCCCTCCGTTTCACCATCGGCGGCAGCGCTTTCAGCCACTAAGCCCTGAAACCCTGGAACACTCTTCCTTTACCATCCATCTTGCCCTTTCCTTCCCCATTTTCAGGTCATGCCTGAAGACCTTCCTCTTTCACCATGCCTACAGTCACTTCCTCCCCCCCAACATCATGCTCCACCACTGTCAAACGCTGTGTGAGGGGCACTATATAAATACAAGTTTTTGATGCTTTTCACTGTAACTTTCAGTGTATTACTTCAGGGTTAATTGCTTGTTGAGGTTGTGTTGTCTTTACTTGGACAAGGTTGAGTGCATCACTTGAGTTGTAGTCCGACCGTCTAAAATTCTGTTTGAAATCAAATTATCTCCATGTACTTATACAAACCTACTTTCGCTGGAAAGTGAAAGCAGCTCTGAACAATTGGCACTATTTCAACATCCCTTTTTGTTTAAATAAATAAATGCTTATGTGGCAGAGGACTGGCTTTTCTTCATCAGCTGGGTTGTCTGACACATGCGGAAACCGATCACCGTGCTTAGGAATATTGAATCCAGAGTTGAGTATGTATGCCACTTATACGTGGAAATTTCCCTGTGTCTAGATTGGAATGTACACTTTCTCGCTGGAGGGATGCACCCTGCTTACCTAAATCTGGAGAGTCCTGGGAGGACCTTTGTAGGACAGCCTTGTGATGTGCCAGCCACCTTAATGTTCTAGACGTCCCAAGTCCAATGCTTTGTACCAGGCTTGCTTAACACCAATTACTTCTCAGGAACTCGCTTATAGTAAAAATAAATTAAGCTACCAGTGTGATATCACAAGTGAAGTCAGGTTGAAGAGGTCCTTTGGCCCATTTGATTGCATTGTTCCAGAGAACCCACTCTACTGTCTTCCCATCACCGCATCAAGCTGTTTTTTTTTTAAAAATCCAGTGTTCTGGTCTCAACTACCCTTCTGGTAGCCTGTTCCAGTTGTCAATTGCTCTCTGTATAAAGAAATATTTCTTGAATCTATACTGAAGTTGCCCTTTGAAACTCTAAACGTATCATTTTCTTCTGGTCCTTAGGTACCTCTAAAAGTATCATTCTGAGTTTACTTTTTCAGTTTTTAAATTCTTATATACCTGTAGAAAATCTCCTTCGAGATGACATAACTTATCCTCTAGCATTGGGTATCCTGCTCATTGCTGTTCTCTAAACTGCTTTTGGTGACGAGGCAGTTGTCCCCGAAACCTAAACTACACTAGGTAGTCTAGAGTGGCCTGAGCAGAGCACTTAGTGTATGAATTCTGAGACTCTGAAATCAACTGATTTGGCTAATCGTCCGATATCCTGTTTGTCTTATTTGTTGCTGCCTTACGCAGTTTTGATGAGTCAATTAACACCCCTAGTTCTTTTCAACTTCCCCCATGACAGTTTCAATCCCATTAATGGTGTGTACATGCCTCCCAATTCTTACTTCCTGTGTGAGGAGTCCCCTTGGAGAAAATATTAATGGGGAAGGTTGTTTACCGCAGGATGATTTAGCCTCAACTGTATGTTTTGTTTCCTATACGTTCAAGTAATTGCTTCCTCATATTATCAGCATTCATTTTTGTTGCTCTTAAAACGCAATAGAAAAATGAAGACATTAATACGATTTGTAACTTAGACAGACACAGACTTTACAACAATAATAATCCTTGCATTTGATATTGTCTTATCACGTCTTCGAGACGTCTCAAAGAGTTTCACAGAATGTACTGAATGGTGAATTTTGATGCTGATAGTAGCTCTTTGAGATGAAACCTTCATGTTATGCTTCCACTTAATGATGATTTAAGGCTTCATTCACTTTCCTTGTCCCCATACCACAGGACAATTCACCAAACCCCTATTGAAATGGGGTGTTCACAATTTTTTGTTTTGTCCCTAACCTGGCGATTTGATGCCCAGTTTAGTACAGTCCCCTTTAACTGCTGCCAGACATCTGGAAGATCTATTGAAAATGCTCTGCAGTGAAATGTGACTATCAACAGCAAGTTGTAGAGATTCTGCATTGCTTTCTCTCTCTCCCCACCTGTTTCCTTCCTGCGACTAAATATACTTCACCCCCTTTCAAATACTTCACAGTTGCCTGTTCTGCTAAATGAGGTGAGCTGACTTCTGAGAATTAGTTGAGAGCCAGGATGTTACTCTCCATTCTGTGTCTACCTACATTGCAATTGAGATAGGTAACCACTTGTGGTTCTTTGTTTCATTCTTTGTTTAGTATCTGACTTGGCTGATCCTGTTCACTGTTCTAATTAAGCAATGCCATAGTAATCATCCTGAAGTGCCATCTGTCTAATCACTCAGCCTTCTATTTTTTTTTCCTTATTTAGATAAATCTGAGGCTGATGGTCAAGGATTTTGTCAGGGAGGTTTCAGCATCGATCTGACAACGGTAAGAAGAGACTTGAGTTTTTTTTCCTTTTTTTGCCCTCCAGCCACCAATCATCTGTGCTCCAGCCACACCTTTATGCAAGAATTTGCAGTATGTGAACAGCTTAGACACCAATGCAAGTGCCCCTTTGTCTCTCCGACAAGAGTTACCGTTGCACTGATCTGTCCACTATCTTTAGTGGTATATAAATGCTTCAACTTTAGTATTGTAAACTTTTAGACAATAAGGAAATCTATTTTAATGAGAATAACTGGAGTCTAGAGAGATTTGCCTTTATGTACTTCTGCTAGAAATGGAGACAAATAACAGCCTTATGAAACCATTCTTTCATTGTAAGAACGTTTATAGCATATTGTTATGGTGTGTAGGTTTTCACAGTCATATTTGGTTTTGTGTCTGGTCGTTAAATGTATGTATGATCAACAGTTGCAATGTGTTACATGTTTTATTATTGGTTGTATTATTGTTAAACCAGCCAACCATTTCCATACAGCAAGACACAACTATGAGCTGAATAACAATTATTCTGGAGGATTCTTGACCAGAATATCAAGAGACCCCTTCCATTTTCAAACAGTCTCATGGGACTTTTAAATGCCCTGAGCAGGCAAAAAGGATCTCAGTTTAATGTCTCATCTGAAGGACTGCACCTCTGGCAATCCATTGCACTAGGGTATAAAGTATATGCTGAAGTCCTAACCTGAGGTTCTGCCTCTAACAATAATAAATTGGTCATATTCAATCTACGACTGTTCGTGGGACATTGCTGTGCGCAATTGGCTGCCACGTTCGCCCACAAATATAGTCAATTCACTTTACAGTGTGTTCTGTGAAGCGCTTTGGGACGTCCTCCCAACATGAAAAGCGCTATGTCAAATGCAAGGATTATTATTATTATTAAGACTGGTGCCACAAGCTGAACCAAGCCAACAAACCTGCATTGCAGCCTTGTTTTTAACACTACCTAAATTTAGTCTGCAGTTACATTTCCAGATCAAAAGTCATGGCTACCCAAAAAGTGTCATTCAAGGTGCAAGATTAGATAGCATTCAGCGAAAATGTTTAAGCAGGCTGTCTCATTGCAAGAAAATACTGCTTGTGTACTTTTTTTTTCCATTGTGATGTGTGAATCTTCTATTGTGATAAAACTATTTCTGATAAGACTTTCAGTATTTATGGCTAAAACCACTTCATTGTGGAATTAGCATTTGGTTTACCTGCTTCCTTTAGTTTTAGCATCATTAAAAATAACTTTGAGTTGATAGTTTTGTATTCGGTGAGGAGCACCAACTGTTCAGATCATAATCTATTTATGACTTTGCCACTTGTGAAATATGAACCATACTCTTCGCTGATGAAAACTCCCCTTAACCAATTGCTTCTCATTTTTTGTCTGTTACACATAGATATTAATGGATATTTTCCAGTGCCTTTTCAAGTCATTATGTTGGCCATAAGAGTGCAGCTCTCAGAGGCTTTCTGGAACCCACAGTAAATTTCTCCTTGAGATCTTCACATTCAAAATTATTCCCACACATTATAGTATGGAGATGATATTTTGTGTAACCCACATTCTTATTCCAAGTACACGGACATGGAAAGTTATTGATTTAGCACCTAAGTCACATAATTCAATAGAGAGAATCAAACCCAACACCTATTGGTTTGTTCAACTACAATTGCCATTAGAGGAGCTTGACGTAACTTTCTTTCCTATGCAGAAAAGTATTGCATGCTGGAAATATTCCTTACTACAGTCTGCGATCCCTTCCTCGTCAACTTGAAATCCTATTTAGAAATAACGGATATTTGGACGGAGAGAAATGCCTGGGAAAGGATGTGGTTCAGGGAGATTTATTTTACTGAAGCTTCTGTATCGATCTTATGATTATCGCTAGCTTGCATTGGCAGATGATGGTAACGAATGCTTAGAAACGGAAATCTTATGGTGCATCTGTCTCTCCTTGAATTACAGGGCGGGAGAGTGGTTCTCGGGGGACCTGGCAGTTTTTACTGGCAAGGTAAAGTGCCTGACCGTAATCTAACCTTGTGCACTTGTCAACCTCAATAATTGTGTCCTAAGGCCATGTGCTGTTTGTCTTGTACATTTTCCTTTCAGACTAACTTATTAATTTTTCCGTGTTCTTGGTTTAGAATTGCCTGATTTTTACGACCAGCTAAGACTAGGGGGGAAGAGAGTGAGTGAAGAAAGCCAACGTCAGAAAACTGTCTTTTGTTTAGATGTTTCTATACATGTTAATATAGATATTTTAAGACTAGGTGGAAGCATGTTTTGTTTACTAATAAAATCTACTGTGTGATTCTGCAGGTCAGTTAATCTCTGACAGGGTGGAGGATATCGTGACAATGTACAATCCTTCAGAACTGATTACAAAATTCCCAAATCAAATTGCAACGCTTGTGGCTAATGCTGTGTATGACGACAGCTATCTTGGTGAGTGAGACCTAACTTATTATCAGATTCTCTCAGAAAAAAAACTCAACTTGTGAATGTGGGCCCATTAAAAGCGAGAAAGGGAGAAATTGTAAAACAAAGTTATTTATTTTTTGTGTTTTGCTGCAAACGTGTTTTTGAAGCTGGTAGCTATTTAGCTATGATGTACAAGGATGGAAATGTCTCTACCCTGTCTCTTGTAGTTGACCCTGACCTCGCAATGAGGTCTGCATAACTCCTAACTCCTCCAGTATGTTCGATCAAGTTGTAAGTTGCCAAAAAAAAGAGAGACTGGCCCTTAGCAGAAAGCTCAGAGAAAAGGATTTATTGGGAGTCATTTTAGATCCAGTTTCTCCAGTGTTTTCCTTTTGATTTTTATAGTCGCAAAGAATAGAACTAATGCTTTTCTATTTCTATATTAAGTCTAATAATGGATCTTTTCTAAAGTTTCCTGCTTAACCAGTTTGACCCAGTTTTTTTTTTGTGTGTTAATTAAATGTTATTGTTATTCCTGACTGAGCTGTAGACTATTTTTGGGAAAAAAAAGTTATGCTTTTAATGTAGAAGCACAAGACAAGTATGAGATAATGTGCATTTATGTGTGTTTAGGATGAGCTCAGATTCTTCAGAATAGCTCCCTTGTTTTCAGGCTGTGTATCTAGGGCTCTTCTAAATAGGACAAGGTCAAATACTAATTATACAGACATCGATTTTACACCCTGTATCAGAGGGTTTATTTCTTGCGAGCATTCATAACCTCGTATTCGATCAATGATATTGACACTTTTTAAAAAAAAATGTTTAAAATAACTGGGTGGAAATTTTTAAACTTTTGTTTTTATCAGGTTATTCTGTTGCTGTTGGAAATTTTAATGATGATTCAGTGGAAGGTAAGCAAACGCAACCTTTTTGAGTCTGTTTTAAGAGATGCCTGTCCATTTGCTCTTGCCTACTCCAGCTCGGGTGCCCAACTAGCATTGTCGAACACTTTAAGGCATCCTCCTGATGTGAAAGGTGGAATAAGACCTTAAGTTGTGTGTATTGAGTTGAAGGAGTCCCAAGCTATGATGCACTATCAATGTTGAGTCAACTAATCTCGCCAAACTGGCAGACCATACAGTAAAACTCGTCTTAAGAACCTTGGTCTAGGTGTAATATAAAATAGTTAAGATTTATACTCTTCATTTTTATCCAGTTTTCCTTGCACTCCTCCACCCCACCTTTGCTGGAAATATATTCAGCAAAATCTGCTTCAACTATGAGCTGACTCCAAGGTGATGTGCCTGGCAACAGCATGTCTGAATTGAGATAACCCTCCGTAGACCAGTTCCCGAGCCAGCTGGATCCGCGGGGCAATGCTGATAATGGAGCCAGACAGCTTGATTCATTGGCAAGACTTGGAAGCCAGACCAGTCATTGGGACAGGGATGCTTCCTGCTCTGATCTTAGCCAAACAAGTAGCGGGTGGCTAAACAGTGCTTTTAGTGGCTACGTTTTGTGGATTTAGCTGATTAAACTGCAGCAGTACTGCAAAGCACACTCTGGTCCCCGTGACTTGGTTCTTGCCAACCTGCACCTAATACACTCTATCTAGGGGACACCCACTCAGGCAGAGTCAACTACACGTGCAAATTTACATGTGTAAATGACATACGTTTGGGCAATTCTGTCTGGTTTGGATGTTCTTAAGGTGGAGGTTTCTTGCATGTGTCAAAGATCCTGCTTTCCAACACAAAAAGTGATGTACGTTCACCCCTTCCTATGATAAACATTCTATCAGCACCAACTTTTAAGATTCGTGAAGAATAGATACGTGAAATTACTGAAGGAAAGGGGTTTGTTCTGACAATGGTACTGCATTCCTTCTGTAGAGGAACTAAAAAATGAAGTGTGTGACTTCAAGTCAATATTTACAGCACTTAACGTGGGTGCCAGTATTTGTTGTTGAAAGGGTAGGGACAGTGAAATTTATTAGTTTGTCGTTTTTCCCCTTATGTCACTGACCGCTCAAAGTACATGAGAAACAACTTGGGTTGATCTCTGCTGGACTGAGATTGGGAACAGGCTTTGAACGTGAATTGTGTGGCAGATCCCAGGGTGTAGTGTGCGGAGGTGAATGTTACGGACATTGAGAGTGTTTGCATCTATGGTACCTGATATAAAATTGATTTCAGTGATTGAAAGTAATATCTTTCTGCTTCAGATTTTGTAACTGGAATTCCAAGAGGAGCGAAATCTCTGGGCTATGTAAGAAATTCTCATTTTATATCACAGTATTTCCAAGTGGTTTAAACAATTATAACTGTGGTTTAAATAGATGTTTAGACTCTGGAACGCTACCCATGTGAAGGGCGCTATGTAAATGCAAGTTGGTGTTGTATGTCTTTGAGTTTTGACTGAGGCAGACGCATCAATTAACTGTTCTTTTAACAACTCTTTTAATCGTCAACAGGTGACGATTTTAAATGGAGAGACGATGAAATCGCTTATCAATGTTACTGGGGAGCAGGTGAATCCTTCTTTACATCTCCTGCATCAAAACAAACTCATTCTTCCTCTCGTGTGGATGCAAAACTTTACCAGGTTTATTCCCACATGTGCAAGAAAAAGAGTGACCTGAAGTATTCTTTTTACAGATGGCGTCCTACTTTGGATATTCAGTTGCTGTGACTGACGTCAATAACGATGGGTGAGAGGGGAGAAAAAATTATGGCTGGGGGTGGAAATGATTTTTTCTAATTGTGTTTTTGTGTTTAAAAATAATTCACTCCTGGAGTACTCAAGTAAACAGTGTGTTTCACAAATCTTTATTGATCGTTTGGTGGGAGTCACCATGGTGACTTATCTATTTTCTTGTTTATAGAATGGCACATATCAGGCACATCTGGTACTACTCTCGTCTAGGAGTGCAGAAAATTGAGAAAGATAAATTCTTTCAATAATGTGAACTCATCGCTCCTAGATTATGCTTTGCAGCTATCTTAGCCGACATTGTTTTGCGAACACTGTGTTGTAAAATTGCTGCAAATTTCCTTGTAATCCATGAGGGACACATGTCTGTCTGTAGTTTAGATGCTTATTTCTCAACGCTGACTTTGGTTATTTTAGACACGATGACCTCTTGGTTGGAGCGCCTCTGTTTATGGACCGGAGTTCTGATGGGAAGTACAGAGAAGTGGGACAAATCTATGTCTATCTACAAGAAGGCACAACATTTAAAAAACCCCAGAAGCTGACTGGTACTGAAATCTATGCCAGATTCGGGACGTCAATCACAGGTCTTGGTGATCTTGACCAAGATGGTTTTAACGGTGTGTCATTTTGTTTATTTACTATGGATGTTTTTTTTGTGTCTGAGCTTCTAATTCATGTCCCTAGGCCATGGAAAGCTAACTAACTAAACAAACAATCCTTGCCTGCTTGTCATGCACCCTTTCAATTTGAATGCACTGCAAACCGAATTCTGCAAGAAATGATGAATTCAGATTGATTGGAATGAGTGCAGGTCAGCAATGCATTTTTCAGCAATTTAAGAATGTTGCATACTTTCTGCCTTTTTGTAATTGGGAATTTATTGATTTTTTCCACAAAAATAAAAACTGTGAATGCCTGAAACCAGCATCTTGAAGACAAAAATAAGTGACTGATACAGGGAGAAAGCTTTCATTTCTGGAGTTGTCACGTATTTTTCTCTTTTGGATACTGTTTTCATTTTGATTTAACTTCAACAACAACAACAGCAACAGATTCCATTTATAGAGCGCCTTTCACGTCGGGAGGACGTCCCAAGGCACTGCACAGTTGGGTCAGGACCCGAGCAGGGGGGAAATGGTCAGGGTGAGGGGAGCGAAGGGAGGGAGCGAGGAGGGGGTTGAGAGGGGAGCTGAAGGCACGGTCAAAGAGAAAGGTCTTGAGACCGGCCTTGAAGGAGGAAAGGGAGGAGGCGGCGAAAGCACTGGGGGATAGAGTTCCAGAGCCTAGGGGCTGAGAGGCTGAAGGCCCGGCCACCGATGGTAGGGCGGTTGGGGCGGGAGATGTGGAGCAGACTGGAGCCAGAGGAACGGAGGGTACGGGCAGGTAGGTAGGGGGATAGTAGGTCAGAGAGGTAGGAGGGAGCGAGGCCGTGAATGGCCTTGTAGGTGAGGATGAGGATCTTGAATTTGATCCTTTGGGGGATGGGGAGCCAGTGGAGGCGAGCGAGGGTGGGAGTGATGTGGTCCCGAAGCCTGGTGCGGGACAGTACACGAGCTGCAGAGTTCTGAATGACCTGCAGTGTGGAGGGAGGGCCGGGAAGGCCGGCGAGGAGAGAGTTCCCATAGTCCAGCCTTGAGGTGACAAAGGCGTGGACCAGAGTTTCAGCAGCGTGAGGGGTGAGGTAGTGCCGTAGTCTGGCGACATTCCGGAGGTGATGGAAGGCGGTGCCAGTTGTGGCGCGGATATGAGGGAGAAAGGACAGCTCAGGGTCGAACAGAACCCCGAGGTTCCTGACTGGCTTTGAGAGGTGGAGAGTGCAGCCTTGAATGCTGATGCTGTCAGCGCCTGAGGTGCGGAGGCGCTGACGCGAGTCAATCAGGAGGGCCTCAGTTTTACGCACGTTGAGCTGAAGAAAGTTGTCTCTCGTCCAGGACTCGATGTCGGACAGGCAGCTGTCAGGACATCAGTGGTCGTGGAGTTGAGGGTAGAGGAGGAAAGGTAAGGTTGGGTGTCATCCGCATACATGTGGAAGTTAACCCCATGTCTGCGGATGATGTCACCACAGGGGGAGCATATAGAGGGTGAAGAGGAGGGGACCGAGGACAGAGCCCTGAGGGACACCGCACAAGACAGTGCGGGGGCTGGAGGAGAAGCCATTCGTAGAAACAAAGTGAAGACGGTGGGAGAGGTACGACCTAAACCACTCAAGGACAGGTCCTTGAAGGTTGAAGTGGGAGGACAAGCGATGGAGGAGGATAGCGTGGTCGACCGTATCGAATGCTGCCGATAGGTCGAGCAGGATGAGGAGGCAGAGGGAGCCCTGGTCGCAGATGGTCAGGATGTCATTGGTGACCTTGACCAGGGCAGTTTCTGTGCTATGGGCAGCACGGAAACCCGACTGAAGGGGTTTGAATAATGAATGGGTGGAGTGGAAACTTCCTCCTTTCTTGACCTGTAGTTTGTTCAGCTATTTTTCATTTGTCTTTCCACATTTGCTTGACTATTATTTCCAGATCTATTTCTCCCTCATCTGTTCCTTGTGTTCCCACCCTCTTCTCTTCCTGTTGCTAGATGGAATTTCAGCCTATCGTGTGCAGGGTGTCATTAATCTGTGTGCACACATATAGTTCTCCTAATAGCCTAGATACTAGTTAATTATTAAACCAACGCATGGAATGTTTCACTTTTACAATCTTCATAATGGCTGAAAATGTGAGATCATTTGCAGTCTTAATGGAAGTTTGCATCAACCAGTCTCTTGACGTTTCAGAATTTTTTTTTGGCTTTAATGTTGATAGCATTGGTTGATATAACTAATCCTGCAAAGCTGTGTTTTTTTTTATCTCCTGGTCTCGGCATTCAAAGGCCTGCCTGGACAGGAATGACGAAGTCAGTGACTGTATAATTAGCTTAAGCCCAGGTGGTCTGATCTTCTACAGTCAAATTATGTTTAGTTTTTTTTCCCCAAGTGACAACCGTGTTGTGTAAACACAAACTTACACGACACTTGCGATTCTTTGGCAATCCATCCTTCTGAATGGATTCCCATTCAAATATTTCACAAGTCACGTTAACCACTTTTTATGCTTTGATTGGTTTGGTTGTGGTCGAAGGAAATTTTGAAATTCATGCGCTGACATGTTTCCACCTCTATTTATGCCATTCTTATTAATTCACACTCCAGTGTATCGTTATTCGGAATGTAATTTTTTTTCTTTAGATTTGATGTGGCCTTTTCAGAAGTGTTTCTAGTATTGGTGCTACAGTCATCTTAGAACTGAAAATAATTTTGGGAGATTGAGCCAATGAGTCAGCCACCCCCCCTGAAAATAGTGAGTTGCACAGCAATACAGTTCCATAGCATTTCCAACAGTCTAACATCCAAATGGTCGTTCTTCATGCGAGTTTGAGCATGGTAAAGGGTTTCTGCATGCATCAGATATCCATCCGGTTGTCCCCCAAATAAACAGTGGTAGACAGTTTGATTGTAATCACCTGAAATTGACGCAGAGCAAACATCCGCTAGGAATCAAGAACATGGACCACTGGTTAATCTTTTCATTCTGCCCGTCCATCCCTCTCCCTTCCCTGCCATTTCCCATGTTTGAGGGCATTGGGGGCATTTGTAGAACTGTACGTCTGAGGTTGTCAACGGACCTTTGGTATTACTGCCTACATCGAGATCGTGTAACTTGGTCAGATTGAGTTCCTGGGAGATGAATCTGTGTCATATTTAAAATATTCTTTGTATGGAACCTCACACTTGTGTTCAAATCCCTTCACTCTCTGGTACCTCCCTAGCTCTCCGACCTCACTCCCAAAATCCACCACCTGGCGCCTCCGCTCAACTGGCACCAGCCTCCTGTTTGTCCGTCGCAACCTCTGCCCCACCATCGAGGTCGCGCTTTCAGCCATTATACCCCAAAACTCTGGAACACTCTCCCTCAATCCCTCTGCTTTGCCCGTGCTCTCCCCCTTTTCAAGTTGTGCCTGAAGACCTTCCTCTTTGACAGCTCTTATGGTCACCTACCCTCCCCACCGCTTGGAGTCAGGCTCCGCCACTGTTAAGTGCTCTGAGATGCTATCCTTCGTAGAGGGCACGATATAAATGCAAGTTGTTGTTCCGGTACATCGTCCCCAAGCGGCAACTTTAACGTGGGCTTTCAAGTTCATTTATTGGCTATAAAAATGCAAATTGCTACATTTTTTGGAGACATATGTGAATTGGGATCTGAGGACTGATTGTAAAACTGTTTCATTTATAGATGTTGCAGTGGGAGTTCCTTATGCAGGAGAAAATCGCAAAGGCCTTGTTTATATTTATAATGGTAAAATATCTGGTTTAAGCCAACATCCTTCTCAGATTCTGGAAGGGCAATGGGCTTCAGACTCTTTGCCTGCAAGTTTTGGGTATTCGATGCACGGTGCTGTAGATATTGACAGAAATGGCTATCCAGGTACGTTTAACAAAATGTCTCTCAATATCTCTTTAATCCAAATTTTAATCCACTTTAATGGGATTAAAGAATAATTTATCTTCCAGTGTGGTGGTTAATATAAGCTGTGTGAGCGGTTAGCTGGAGGTAGAAATAATCATGCTAACGTTTGATTTAAACTTTTATGTCAGGAGGGTATTTCAAAGCACTTCACAGGATATAATATAAACTGTAGTGACTATTTTTAGGTGAACTTGGCAGCTGATTTACATGCTGTTATATCCCTCAAACAGCTGTGAAGGGAATGAAACCAATTTTATCTGGGGAGTTGTTGGCCAGTACACTGGGAGAAACTCCTTTCTAGTTTTGAATGTCTTTAATAACGTCTATCTGAAAAATTAGTTTGAAGTCCTGATGTAACCACTTGTCGAGTCTCTCTGCTGAGATCAATTAATTCAGCACATGTTGAGAATTTTGGCTCGCAAGGCTAGCTACTCACTGGATAAAGCTCAGAGAGGTAGAAGTACAGGGTATAGTCAACCAGGATTACGGAGATTTTTTNGTAATTTTTTNCATGTGTTATTGTTGGTTGTTCAATGAGTTGGACTGTTCTGAGTTTCCCAGATTTATGTTCGTACTTTTGTTATTTGATTATTTTACCCACTGCATCACCATCTTCCAGCTGGAGATGTTTTCTGATTTTAAAACCAGATCAAATGACAGATATTTTAACATTCTCAAAGCTAAACCGATAGACCATAATTTATCATGCTAACTAAACTTGAAATGATGTGTGGATATAAAAATCCTTTGGTTCACATTACTTGTCCTGTTGCGACTAGGAATGTTTAGCTTCTCAAATGATGGCATTTGTTCATTCTCCTAAAGTGATTCCAAGTAGCCTCCTGTGGTGCTCAGAGGATATACAAGTGGCCAAAAGGGATGTATTGAGGCACCGGAAATCTTTCCAGCTGTCGTTCAGCCCAAATGTTTCTGTAATAAGCCAGCCACAGAAATACCATCAAGTTTTGAACAGAAATGTTAGCAGTAACGATGCACCATTTAATTTCAGGTTATTGGGTCCACAAAGTGCTTATTAGTTTCTCTGCTGTTTTCCTGCAGATTTAATTGTTGGAGCTTTCGGCGTTGACAAAGCTATACTTTATAGGTAGGTAATTATATTCTCCTTCAGAGGTAAAATTCCCCTTCCCTCTTCCCCCCTGCCCCTCTCCCATGGAATAATAAACCAGAAGGAGGATTGTATTTTTAAAATGATTTTATTACAACTTATTTAATTTTTTAAACTGGAAATGTGAGCTTAAATAGGCTGAAGGGCATTCTTAATCCGAACCGCTCTTGTGATCTAGGAGGCTACTTTATGGAGGGAGTGTAAATGTCGAGCTTGTCTGAGATTGGAAGAAAGCACATTTTTGAAACTGAATAGATGAAGCTTTACTGTATAACATATAGAGCATTGACCCGAGAGAACTTCAATGTTAACATTGGAAGCAAATGAATGTGGGAACATATCTTCCATTCCTCCTGGGAGAGGAAAAGTATTTAGTTTGCATTAAAATGTACAAAACCAGAAAGTAAGAATTTTTGGGGGACTTGCAAGTACAAGTATTTGAATTTACAGAATACAACCGTTGATGGAGAAACGTGTAGATGGCAAGAAGAAATGAATCTTTGGGGCTGTCTGGAAAATGAAATAATTTTAAAATATTTTCTGGAGACTGCAGAATGTACCAGGCGAAGCAGTTAATAGTATGTGATTAAAACACATTGAGCAGCTCATAAATAAGGCTTTAGAGATTTGAGTGGGATTTTAAGAATGCGCTAATTAGATTCAGCTGACGTTCTACATGTTACCCTTGTCTGCCTTATGCTGATAAAATACTAGTCAGTAAAGTCAGCGAATGGAATCTCATGAAACCTCTGTTATCGGCGGGCTGTTAAAATGTATGTTTACCCAGCCCTGTGTGAAGTGTTGAGCAGCTTTGTGCAGAAATGAGGGGATACTTGCTCCGTTTCCAACCAAACAGGCTTTCCGAGCTGCAGAATGTGATGAATGATTCCGACTCGATATTCTGTGCTGTGTGTAGTACAGTACAAGACGTTGCCAGTTTGTTCTTTGAAAGTCCCAAGTCAAAGCTGGCACCACTTTGCGAGTGGCGCATTCTTTTCAAATTGCAGGTTTCCTATGTGAGATCATGTTAGGGTTGATGCACTTCCACCTTTAGATGACGCAATTGGGTTTAACGTGTCGATGTGTTGCTGAGACTAGTGGGGAGGGAACCATAACATTTAATTTTTAACATTTAACCACATTTGCTTCTGAGGTACAACTTGATTGTATCTGTGATGAAGCCCTGTCAATCTTCCATGCATTGGCTTTCAAAATTTTCAAAAACACTATCTGCAGACCAAAAATTTTCGTTTGTAGAGTCCTGCTGGTCCATCTCTCCTAGCACATGCCAACCCAACACCCCCACGCCCCCCCACCCCCCCCCCCCCCATCTGACCAGGCTTTGTCTGGTATCCAGCGTCTGCGTGGGTGAGTAACCACTTATTGGTTTGCAGCTGTAAAAGTTCATATGCATTGCCGGAAAAAGCAGGGAATTTTCCAGCACTGTGTATACACACTGCATATGCATTTTTGCATTGCTGGCCTTTAATTACATTTAGCTGGAAATTGCAGCTCGACAGACCAGATCTCTCTCTCCCCCCCCACCCCCCACCACCCAATTAGTCAGATAAGCTGGGGTTTATTTGGGTTACCATATCATGACATTTGTATACATGATACCACTGAAAATTTTGAAAGCCAATGCATGAAAAATTGACAGGGTCTCATCACAGATATAATCGAGTTTACCTCGGAAGCAAATGTGGTTATGCGTTGACTGAGTAAAGTTTTAATACTGGTAGCTTTGTTCAGGAAAGCTGATACAAAACAAAAAACTGCATTGAAATCCTCAGAACCTCTCTCTCTCCCTCCCTCCAAGTAAGATATTTTATTAAAGAAAAAATTTCTTTGTGTGTTTAAATTTTCAGAGCCAGACCAGTGATTCATGTGAATGCTTCGTTAGATGTCACCCCTTCAGTTTTGAATCTAGAGAACAAAACCTGTCAACATCCAGTAACCAACATCAAGGTGTCTTGGTGAGTTCAGCTGGGTGTGGAATAGGAGCATTCTGCATCCCAAATTCCAGTCTCATCCTTTTCATTTCTCGCATTGATATTAAGTTTATTTTCTACTTTGTAATTCCATTTGTGTGATTAAAGCATGCTGAAATTTATGGCATGCTGCCCTGTGGTCTGGTACACTCTTTTGACCATATTGTAATTTGAACCACTTATGGGTAACATCGCATATAGTCCTAGACATAATAAGAAATGTTCAACAACAAGATTACATCTATATAGCGACTTTCACGTCGGGAGGACGTCCCAAGGCGCTGGGCAGTGTGCAGGAATTCAGACCTGAGCTGGGGTCGGGGGGGGGGGGGGAGAAGGGAGGGGAGGGGAAGGGGGTGGCATGATTGAAGAGGAGGGTTTTGAAGCGCTTTTAAGTTCACTTTAAGGCCAGCAATGAGTGCTAATTGAATTAATTTAACGAAATTATGCAGGATTGTTGTGCCACTTTGAGCAGATCTTCCATGTATGTCTCTACGAGTCTGTATATTCAACATAAATGTATTGCAGCAGTCGCATAAGTGATGAGTGAGTAAGATTGCCGTTGAGCATGCTGTGCTGGGATTGAGGTCATATCCATATTAATACTCATTCTGATGTACTATTTGGAGACTAGTCAACTTACTTTCTAATGAGAGTATTATTATAATTCAGATCCTCTTTAATAAAGTGCCAAGTTGTAATGATTGGTTTCCTTATAATATGGGCGCTGTATGAACTTACAACAACTTGCATTTATATAGCGTCCTTTATGCGGAATAGAGTCCCGGAGCACTTGACAGTGGCGGAGACTGACCCCAAGCCAGGGGTCTCAGGGTCAGATTCCGCCCAGGCTTACACTGATTTGGACACAGTCTGATCAATTTTTTTTAAAAAAAAGAAAAGTTGACTTACAAGTCATCAGGTTGGCTCCCCCATCATTTTTCCATATGCACAGCAAGCAGGAAATGATGTTGTGGGTGATTTCAATACCCAGAGACCACACTTGTTTTAATGCGTGAGAAGCTGGGTGCTCTGGGATGCTGTCTGACGTGAAGGGCTCTATGTAAATGCAAGTTGTTGTGGCTGTTATAGGGCTGGTTGGGATCTTATGGACACTCTTTCTTCTTCTTCCCCCTCCCTGCCGCCCACCTACTGCATTTTAACTGGGTTTTACTGTTGGGATTTCCGATCCCTGAGTTTGAAGTGTGACCCGACAATCCAAAGTGGTGTAACAAAGTTTTATTGAACAATTAGTCAAATATAAGTATTCACAGAATCAAAGCATACTAGCCGTTCCGATGACTCTGAGCAACGATCGTCTGACCTCTATATCCTCGTCTTTCCTATGGCTGCTGCCGACCACTCTTTCACTTTTAATGGTCACTTTCTTACTGGAGGTAAATTCTCTCACCCTTGTTCATATACATAGATACAGTAGAATCGGTATCGATTCCACTGGGCAGTGTGCTGACCCTCTACAGGTCTCCCAACTATTTTAAAGTTACATCTTTTACGTGTTTCTAACTCCACCTCTCCTGGTCACAGAGATAGCCCCCACCCTTCACAGGCTGCTTTGCACAGAGAGAAATTTGGACAACTTCTGGGCAGCCTTCTACACCCTGCTTGTTTCTCAACCTTGAGATAGGCAGGTGTCTGTAGCTACAGCTTTTCTTTCTGTGGTTCATTGTTCTTACATCTATGTTCAAAGACCCGATTGCTCATTATCTCAGAGGAGTGAGCATCTTTCCAGGAAAATATGAAATGTAATCAGAAGCTGACCTCAGCCCGTCCAGCAAAGCTCTTCATTTGTGGTTCCTTGGCTTAGTTGCTGACTGTTTTGTGCTTTTGAGTCAAAAAGTTGTGAGATCAAGCTCCATGGAGGAAGTGAGCCTAGACTCACAGTTAAGGCTAACACTCCAGTGCAATACTGGAGATTGCGTCTCGTCAGTGATGCCATTTACTGGATGAGACATTAAAACAAATACCCTGTCTGCCTGTTTAGGTGGACAAACAGATCCCATTTCACTTGGGGATTTTCAGCCAATAATTCTCCAGATCAATTACTCATTCACCTCATGGGCTGCATATACAGCCTTACGGGCATGTTTCCCGACAAAAGCAGTAATTGCATTGGATTGTTGTGATAAGGTGCTACAAATATGCAAGTTTTTTTAAAAACATTTTTTTATTTAACGAGTCTTGCGAAATGAACAGAAAAGGAATACTGTTTATACTCATTTATATTCAGAGCAGACCACAGAAATTTGTGTGATTTTTTTTGGGCCTCCGCTTACCCTTTAGTATTTCCCTTCTGGTTTCTTCATCTTTTTGTTCTGGACTCCCACTTTGAGTTTTCCACAGGCCTGGTCAGGCTGTGCTCCTGCCACGTTTTAGCTCTTTTTTTCCAAACGCAGGACATGGAGTCCTGTAGCTCAGTGGTTAGAGCACTCGCCTCACAAACGAGAGGACCTGGGTTCGATTCCCAGGCAGGGTGAAACACTAGCCAAGTTTCCTTACTCCACACGCCTCTTTACCTAGCAGTGAGTAGGATTGGCGTTAGTCAATTGGCAGATCGCTTTTCTGGGGGTAATTATTCCTTTTTAAAAAAAATTATTTAGTCACTCAATCCACGGTTGTTTGTGGGACATTGCTGTGTGCTTCTCCTTCTTCCTTGTTTGGGGGCCACTTCAGTACTACATTCTGTCTGAGTCTTGAATGCAACTCAGAGAAGGTTGGTGTTTGCTTTAAATTAGTTTGGGAACTGAAAATAATGGACGCAGTGTCATTAAAGGGGAATTGAAATTTGGAGTAAATACTTTATAAAATTGCTTCTGGATTGGGGAAAAAGATGAAGGTGCTTTCTACCTCTCCCGCACCTCCTCATTCACTACATTGGTTCAGTGATGTCTCCAGTAGAATGTGACTGGATCCTCCTTCTGACTCTATTGGGTTTAGTTGGAGACATAACAAAACACAATTATTTGATTCTGGGCATCATAGAACTCAAAACGACAATAGCCTTGTCGACGTGTGTAAGAATTAGCTGGCAGCAAAGGGAGTGTCGGTTAGTGCTTTGTGTCTGCACACAAAACCAATTTTCTGCAAATTGCCATTCTTGCTCAGAATAAACATAATTGTTGTGGGAAATGTAATTTAGTTCCACAAGGTTAGCATTCCTCACGTTTAGCTGTACTTTTTTTTTAAAATTAGCTCTTTTTTTGCCGTGAAGGGCATCATTTAATCTGTCCCTAGGCTGTAGGTTTTATGGAGCTGCAGATTTGGGTGCAAGTTGTTGCACTGCCCCTCATGTTGATCTTTCTCTAAGTACTTCCTGAATTAAATATTTTATGTGCAGTCATGCAAATGGATGTAACTGAAATGGCATTCATTTTTTGCGCATGAAATAGCCCAGGATTACTGGAAGGGGAACCTCTTGCACGTGACTATTTACTCACCAAGTCACTTCAGTATGGTTTGTTTTTATAAATTTCATTTGTATCTGAAAATGTCAAATGGGAGAGTGATTTTTGCTAACTTCACATTGCCTTGCATACGTATTAATCGGTGCTTAAAAACAATCTGATGCGGTGGATTTAGTTTTGCAGCCAGGCCAGGAATGTACTGTGGTGGAGCACCATGCAGCTCCCTGCTTGTTTTTGCTGTATTAAGAATAATGTTGAGCGAGTTTGCTAATAAGGTTAAAAACAGGTTGAACCTCTCAACCAAAACAAAAAAAAATGCAGTGTGTATAGTTCTCTTGAAGTGGGCTGTGCTAGAAACCCAGTGAATAGTGCAGTCATACCTGACCACACAATTAAATGCAGATCTTTACAAACTTCATCGAAGGTCAAAATGCAGCATTGAGATTGGTGGGAGAAGAATCTGTTCAGAAACATTCACCTGATTGCGTGATCTCAATGGTGCAAATGGCAATCGTATTTGCCCTTGTGAAAAAAAAGATTAAGAGCTACAACAATGCATTCACTCCCTTTCCTGTTGGTATTTTAATTGCTGTGAATTAAAATTGAAAAGCAATGAAAAACATTTACGCACTTTCCTTCCTTCGACTTGTGAAAATTGTTTTGTTCATAATGTCATCCAAGTCATTTCACTCGGTCTTGCTTTAGAAATTGTACGATTTGAGACTGTTAATGATGAGGTAATGTGTTGAAAATAATGTCCAAAATTCTTAGTTCTCACACCACATACTTATATAAAGCCAGAGTATTACAGGATTTGTATCAACCGATAAAAGATGAAGCTACAGTTTTACTTGTCTTTTGGCTTAATTGTACTTTTTTCCTCATGAAATCCAGATGAGGTTAGTTGCTGATCATCTCTTCTCTCTTTTTATTGCAGTTTCACTGTTCGGTTTTGCTTGAGCGCCTATGGAAAAGGGGCCACGCAGTCCTTGGGTAAGTTCTGTGTTTTTTCTGTTATGCATATGCTTCAGTTTAGTGCAGTTGACTGTAGCTTTTCTCTGTTCTGCTATCAGTTTTGTTCTGTGACGAGCCAGCAATAAATTGAAGCGTTGTGTAATTGTTCATGAGTTTTTTGTGATGTGAAGCCATCTGAACAACAAAGCAGTTAAAGTCTAATGAAGATCACGTTGACTGCCTAGGCAGGATGTGACGCTGGGTGGCCCAGATGTTTTCCAGGTTGAGTTGAATCTGGGCCAAGTTTAGGTGTCTCCTCTTGACCCTCTGTGCCAGAACTTGAACTGAATCAAATCAACTCGGTCGCAGTGATCCCACTTAAGTAAGTTAAGAATGTTAAGACAGAAATGTTTGAATAACTGCTGATTGTTTCCTACTTAGTTAGGTCAGGAAAACAGTGCAGTATGCTGGTATTGTTTTACCACCCTTTAAATCGGTAAACCGATTAAGATGTTATTTGAGTACTTTGCCTTATTTAGAGTTCACTATTTGTTTTATAATCTCATTTAGACTGCTGTTGATATCGGTATTCAATGTAGCATAAACCACAATGCGTGTTCTCAAAGTGAGCTGATTTTTTTTGTGTGTGTATATGCATTCGTCCACCAAATACACAAAAACTCTGAAAGACTTTGAGACGTTTTGAAGAGATGAGGTACTATTTTAAATGGGAAGATGTTTATTGTTCAGCACACTGTCTCTCTAACTAAAAACAACAATCGATCAAGATCTCAAATCCTGTTTATTTTCACAGGGTACAGTCTGGTTGTCTGCAAAGTAAAGGCGGTTACGTGTGGGTGGATGGCTGGGGATGTGGGTTGGGGGGGGGCGGGGAGTTGTGATTCATATTGATGCTTCTCTGATTGCAGAGAAGTGTGTTAATGTCTGCAATAATAAAGGCCAAGTGGTTTCCCCGGTTGCATTGTTGAGATGTGTTCTTATGACATCTAGCGTCAGAACTGTAGCAATGCAGCTCTTGTGCCACAAGGCTCGGCTCATTCATCTCCTCTGTTGATGTCCATGCAGATTGGATGATTTGTTGTTGTCTTAGTTTTTCATAAGTGTTTGGTAGCATGTTGTAGCTTGTCCAGGAAGTGAAATGAAAGCCTTTATATGCTGGAGAAATCTGTCTTCAGATTTTAATCTGAATTTATGTTGAATCTATTTAAATTACAAGAGAGAAGTTTTTTTTCTCTTGTTCTTCCCTCCTCCCCACCCCAACAATACGATCTCTTCTCCATGGTTTGGGGCCTAATTACCCCTCTGGTCTTCCATCTGTAAGTGGTACTCTGCAGTTTGGTAGATCAGGTCTGTCAGTAACTTTCAAACAATGTTAGGTAAAATTACATAGAATATTGCAGCACAGAAACAGGCTATTTGACCAAACTTGTTTCCCTTCCATCATAATAATAATCCTTACATTTGACATAGCGCCTTATCACGTTGTTGCAATGTCTCAAAACTCTTTTCAGAATATACTGTAAAGTGAATTGTCTATATTTTGTGGGCGAAATACCCCCTTAAACTAATTTTGTCTTAAATACATTGATGATGCTTTCTGCTTCAGGTGAGTTTCACATTCTCACCACTGTCTGTTTATTCTACAAATAGATCCAATCAGTACAGAAATAGTTGAATAGTTTTTCATGTCTTGTGGTCCATGGTTCCACTAATATTAGGTGTTTGTACTTTCAGATTTTAACATCCAACTGCAGCTGGATAAACTAAAGCAGAAAGGAGCCATCAAGAGAGCTATGTTCCTGCATAATGTTCACTCCAGCTATGAGAAAAAAATGAAAGTAGAAAACGGCGAAAGGAAAGCATGTGAAGAACTCCAAGCCTTCATGAAGGTACGTTTCTATATTACCAGTTAAGAGTATTGTGTTTTTTAAAAATGCCTTTTGGTTTTAAGACACATTTTGTTTTGCTTCAATATTGCGCAGAGGGTAGTTGCTCTCAGGCATCCACTCAGTGAAATCGGTGACTTGAGGAGTGTGATGATGGTGTGACCTGTTTCTTCCTATATATCCATCACATTGGTCAGGAGCAAAGGACTATAGAAGTTTACAGCACGAAAGAAGGGTATTCGATGCATCGTGTCTGTCCGTGCTCTTTTAACGAGCAACCCTTTCAGTCCTATTTATTTGTGTTTTCCCCTGCTTGCATGTTATATGATACGCCCATTTGTAATTTTGTTGGTGCTTACGGAGCTTGATTTTTTTTAAAATCTAGGGGTTCTGTTTAATCCATTACTCTCGTATTCATTTGTGGTGCTATTATAATGTCATCTCATCATTCACTGCAGGGGGCTGCCCATACAAATGTGGAAAATGCTTTTACAGTGGGTTACCAGGATGAGATTTATTATATTAAATATAATGAGATTATACGATCTATATAATAGATTGGGGAACAAATATCTCATCTCCAGAGAGAGAAGCTCTAACCTGTCCAGTTTTTCTTGATGGCTATTACCATATATAATTACCAAAAATTTGAAGGATAAATTGCAATGATTTTTTTTCATGTTTAGGATGAAACTGAGTTCAGAGACAAACTGACTCACATCGCTATCTATATGGAGTATAAACTGGATTTAAAAAACCTAACAGACAGCAATGACCTGCAACCAATCCTCAACCAATTGACCCCAGATAACATCACCAAAGAGGTCAGTAACCCACACAATCCTCTCTTTTAACTGGGATTTATCTCGCTAATAACACTCCTCCATTTCAAATGATCTAAGGCAGTCAAGCCAGTTTTGAGCCAATATTGCTGTGACCATAAACATTGTTTTTTTTCTTCAGTGTTCTCTGTGAGCTATGTCAGTCTTCTGAAATTGGAGTCTTTGTAAATCTGTTGGTGCTCTAAGGGTTATTGCACCAATTGGGTCACAGAAACTTGCTATTTGGATGATGGGTGATGGTAGGTACACTCATAAACCCGGATCCGGATTCAGTGGTCTGAATGACTCTTTCCTGGATTTAATATCTGTTCAGTTTAAAATACAATTACTTCATCCTAGAACACTTCTTCGCCCTGTTGCTCTTAATACCGTCCATGTCTTAGCGATTGCTCCAGATCAGAATTTGCACTCGAATTTGCAACCTTTGGCCACAAACCCATTCTGTCACAGCATAAGAGCAATTTGAAAAAAAAATCTCGATGACCTTTTGTTACAGATTGAGCAACTATTGAAATAAAGATCCTTTGTTACTGCTCCCGCTGCTCTGTTAACGTGGGCTTGCGGCACTTTCTCTACTCTCCATCCATCGTTATTGGATCATCTTTCAGCCTCCCTGGAGCTGTCTCCCCAAATCCGCCTGCTTCGCACCCTCCCTGTTTGCTTTCAAAACCCTCTTTGATTGTACCTTCGGTCAGTTCCTTAGCCCCCCCGCCTGCCCATCATTCTCAGGCTCCCACTCTGCCTCTGTAAAGCACTTTGAGACGTTATTCTACATGAAAAGAACTTTTATAAGTACAAGTTGTTGAGTTGAAAGTGGCTGGGCCCCTGTCTGCATCTGTGTATCAATGGCATATTCTGTTCTTTTGCAGGCCAGCATTTTATTGGACTGTGGTGAAGACAACATCTGCAAACCTGACCTTAAACTCTCTGTGAAAGGGTATGTTCTGATCTTTATAATGCTGTATAAAGCACCATCAGCTGTCGAAAACTGGTGCTCATATGTATGCTATTTCCTCTTCCAACAGAGATCAAAAGCAACTTTACATTGGTGTTGACAATCCCTTATCCCTGACTATAAATGCACTGAATAATGGTGAAGGGGCCTATGAGGCTGAACTCTATGTGATTTTACCCCCTCAAGCCGATTATGTTGGCGTAGTTCGGGACAATGAGGTAGGTAATTTGAAACTTCTTGTCTAGGAAAAGTGGAAACTGGTATAAAAGCACAATTTAGAAAATATTTTATTTAGTATATTTAAAACCTTTTAGAGCATTACCTGTCTGATTCAATTGTAATCATTGTAGGTGTGAAACTAGAAATACAGCAGCTTCTGTTCAATCAGGATACAAGTAACTCCACTGAAATACATGGCTGTTTTTTAAACATGTGGAAACTCATCTCCATGCTAAAGAGAATCCAAACCAAACCAGGTCCACAACTATGTCATCTGCACATGTAAATTTCCTTGTGCAAAGAATGGAATGTGCATTCTCCTTAGAGAGACACATCCTGCTTATCTAAACCTGCAGAGTACTTGGTGCACGTTGGCAAGAACCAAGCCTTGGGGTTTCTAGATTTTATGTTGGGGTACTGCTGGAGTTTAACCAGCTAAAACCGTATAGCTTGCTGTTGACAGCATTATCTAGCAAGCTTCCCACTGCTTGTCAAGCTAAAATCTCCCTACATTCATTCCAAAGTGAAAGGCACTATAAATGCAGTTTGCTTTTGGGGTTTTGACTGGTGGGGTTAATAAGAGGTGGGTGGGAAGACGTCTTGCTCATAATGACCGGGCAGGACTGCATGTTTGTACGGTTTGAGAGTTTGAATTGACAGATTGAAAATCTAACACTGCAGTTGAAGAACAAGAGGTGATCCTCACGTGTTGCACTTGGCATTTGTCTTTCAGAAACTATCAAGATTGTCATGTGCTTACAAAGTAGACAATCAAACTCGCACAGTGGTCTGTGACCTTGGAAACCCTATGAAAGCTGGAACAGATGTAAGAAAACAAAACTCTCGATGTTTCTCTTCTTTTGAAATCCAAGATTTTTTTTTATTCGAAAGCTATAGAATTTCAAATCTAGAGAGAAGTAAAAAAAAAAAAATTGTAAAAAACTTTTGTTTTCTTTGCCATCAGCTCTTGGCTGGCCTGCGATTTGCTGTCCAGGAGCTGCAGGATGCTGAGGCAGCTGTGACATTTGAACTGCAGATTCGAAGGCAAGTGGCTGCTCTTGCTAACAGTCAGTGACATTATTTGACTCTTGTATTTGCCAAGAGACAGGACATGGCATATGAGTGGCATAATAACACGGAGTGTCTTCTGAATTCAGCCCAAGATATCATTGAGTGTAACCTGGAACAATATGTGTCAGCCTGGCACAGTAACCTGGAACAGTAACCTGGAACAATATGTGTCAGCCTGGCACACTCGCCTCAAAGTGGGAAGGTTGTGGGCTCAAGCCCCACATTGGGACTTGGAATCACAATTCAGCGCACTCCAATGCAGTGCTGGGGTGCGTGGCCTTGTCAGAGGTGTCGTCCTTCAGATGAGTGGTCAAACCGAGTTCCCGTCTGCTTGTTCAGGAGGATGTTAAAAATTCCGTGGCACTATTCCAAAGGAGAAAGAGTTTCTCCTGGTGTCCTGGCTAACAGATCATAGAGCAAAGAAGATGAGCAGAATTACAGAAGAACATACATAAAAAAAATAATTGTGCATGTTATATCAACATTTTAGTTTATCTATTCATATTTCCTGGAGTTTATAACTTGTGTGTCCATTATTTTGCAGTTCCAACACCCACAATGCTATGAGTGAGGTGGTCTCCCACTTAGTCGGCATCACTGTTTTAGCTCAGGTCGATATCCGGGGGTAAGTAATCCAGGCATAAAATTTATTTAAATTCTGATATTTTTGCTTTGTTGGAATCTTTAGCTCACTAATGCCCAAGTGAAAATTCATCACTGATTTGAATGAAATGCGGTTTGATGGTGATCTGAATTGTGCGCAGTATTAGAATCACATTCGTAATGCCTCTGTTAAAAGATTATCTCCCAGACTGATTGCATTCTGCTTTTTATTTCAGTGTCTCTTCTCCCGATCAGCTAATTTTACCCATTAACTGGGTTCAAAAAGAAAACCCCGAGACTGAGGAGGAAGTCGGGCCACTGGTCTTGCATGCCTATGAGGTTTGTACTAACTGTTCTGTTGAGAAATGCAATGGGCTTTGAGATGTGTCAGCTTCTTTAGTGCTGTGCTCGTGTCTCAGTTACAAACCACAATTTCGACACTGTCAGGGAAAAAATACAAAAACATGCTGAGAAATTGGAAAAATGTTCTGTTCTCAAAAAATCAAACTGCATTATTAGCTATAGCTGAGGGTAATTGCTGGTGTTTGGATGTGCCTCTGTACACTTATCCATATGGGTCTACTTTATTGGACTTTGTTTCTGACCCCAAAGTCAGGTCTAGCCCTACCACGGTGGGTCTGGATTCAATACCTTGAAGAGAGGAATCAAAGTAAGATTCCATTGAATCCCTTTAGTTTTACAGAAAATCAAAGGTTGCCAAGATCTCTATTATTTCAAACATAGCTTGGAAATGTGATTAGGAGAGGTGTCAATGCATTACTGCAAGAAGTGCAGATTTACTTCATTTCCAGGTGTCTCTGGAGAAATTCTAATCCACATAAACCAAGAAAAGCAAATGGGAGGAATCTGGAATTATACATGAATAGTGACTTTGTAACTCCAAACATTGGCATAGGTTCAAGTTTATATTTCAAACTCAACATTAATCATTGTGCAGGTTTTACGATGTGTTGGTTAGACTGCATGAAGATTAGACAGTGAACATCATTATGTAGAGGAGGAAGGGAAGTTGAAGTTTGAAGAATAGCTGTGTTTTAAAGAAGCACAGATCTTATAGATATTGCTAGTCATCAAGCAGAAGTCTGAGCCAGGCTAACACCAAGTGTGCTTTTCTAACTGGAACTGATGCATAAGCATATGACAATCTTGAGAATCCTGAGGGGATTCCCACAAAAGAGAACTTAAACATTAATTGGTCATACAAGATCAATGAGGTTCCTCAAGACAGAACTACAATAATCTTTTCCATCATAGTTTGGGGAATTCAAATTATTTGCTGTAATACTTTTGACATTCTCCAATTAACATAAAATGTTTTCTTTTTGAAGCTACGGAATAATGGACCAAGTACGTTCAGTAAAGCGATATTAGACCTAAATTGGCCTTACAGATACAAGGAGAATTACCTGCTGTATGTAATGAAGTACACCACTGAGGGGCCAATGAATTGTTCCTCAGATAAAATTATCAACCCTCTCAAATTGAAGGTGTGTATTGTGGTTTACTTTGTCGCCTCGTAGCAGGTAATGTTTGCGCTCCGGGCCGCAACCCCGCGTGAAAGGTGCTATATAATTGCATGTTGTTAAAATAATTGTCTGCATTGCTGAGTCATGTATGTTCAGAAGTATTAAAAAGCTGTAGTAATAACTTTGGAAACTTTATAACCCCAGACTGTAGGTTCGTCAGAAAATAAGACATCATCTCAACCCTCAAGACTAGGAAATCAACACCATCGAAACCACAGAGATACATCTAAGGGAATCGAGAAACTGGTAGATTAATTGATGATCTTAATGTGACTACATTGTTCTACATAGAATATTCGTTCACTTCTAAAACAAACGAAGAGGGAAAAAGCATCTCCAATATTATAGTCTTCCGTTGTCATAAGCTTTTTATGTCAGGTCCTGTCAGGTCTTAATTAATTGAACACACTTTACCACAAATATAATCAGTACATTTTACTCCGAAATAAGGTTACCTCTTGGCTTTTCATCGTATCCTAGCTTAAACTGTTGGCATTGTGATGCAGTATTTTCATCAGTTTTGAGCCAATATTTATTCTCTGTGTAAATCAAAATGCGGTGTCATGTAACCACTTTTTGACATATCTTGTTTCCTCTCTTTTCAACCTCAGTTGTCGTATAGTTTTTAACCCTTGAAATAAGTTTCTCAATCATTCAAAAGCAAAAGAAACTCCAACCTCTGTGACATCATGGAAAATTAATAAGCTTCAAAGAATAATTTTGTAGAACGGGTTTTAAGGAATGTTAAGAGACCTTTTCAAATTGTATTCCTTGGGTTTTATTCTAGGGTTGTGGCACAGCAGAATGTTTGAGAATAAAATGTCAGGTTGGAAGACTAGAAAAGGGGATGGGTGCAGTCCTACGCATCCAATCTCGAATGTGGGCTGAAACGTTCTTGAAGGTGAGTGCTGGAATGACTTTGGAAATGTAGGGATCAATTTTGAGCCATTTCCAAATGGATTTATTAATTAAGAAATCTGAGTGGGGACTCCTTCTGATAAGTGGAAGCATGTTGCACATGTCACTCTGACTCAAGGGAACCCCGCTCTGGAAAAGATTGAGATCTGCTGGATTCGTTGATTAAGAAAATGCATTTAGAAATAACGTTGTAAGAAAGTGAATATTAAAGGATAAAATAACAGCCAAAGCATTTGGATTCACCTTACTGGAAACTTTCATGTAGAAGATGACATGAGTAACCTGATGTGCAAGACGTATGTATAAATGCATGCTTTTCTTTTTTTTCTCATTGAATCAATAGGAAGAGAACAAATCCTACTCCCTGATGGCTTCAGCAACATACAGTGTAATAGAAATGCCGTATAAAAACTTCTCTACAGAACTTCCCACTGGATCCATTGGGGTACGCACTTTATTTTAACTAATTATTTTGAACGATACACAAATGTTTGTTTGTAAATCAAATTTTAAGCAGCGTAACTTTATAACCGATGTCTGTCTTTAAATAAAGGTTACAACCCTTGTATCCTGGGTCAATAATCCCGAAACTCCACCAGTGCCAATTTGGGTGATTATATTAGCACTTCTGGCTGGATTACTACTCCTGGGACTCTTGATTTTTATCATGTATAAAGTAAGTAAAAGTTTTTTTTCAAATAAACATTGTGATAATTTTTAAACAAGCTTTTATGAAAACTACAGAAGTTTTTGCTATTTAGTAGACCTCTTATTGTATTGTCTTCCAGAACCGTATGAAATGGGGCCATAATCTATAAAGAGCTTTTGGTGCTATTAAAATTACAGTGTAAATAATCCTTGCATTTGATATAACACCTTATGATGCCGTTGAAATGTCTTGAAGAATTTCACAGGATTTTACTGTAAAATGTAGTGGCTGCATTTGTAGGTGATCGTAGCAGCCAATCAGAGATTACAGGAGATGGATGGGGATTACAAGGAGAACTATGTCACACAAAGTTTAAGGGACGTAAATAAATAGACTACCAAGAAGGGAAATTGATGTACATTGTAACCCTCTTCAGAATCTCAGCCAGTTGCCCCTTAAATTGAAATGATTTCAACATGGATCATGTTAATAACTCACTGCCTGTCCCTTCCTCGTCATATCCTAGTTATACAGTTCAGTGTTTTAGAGTGCCTCAGATGTGAATAAAGGTAACACTATGTTCACTGATTAGAATTGAATCATTCAGTGTGTTTAAATACAATTGTTTTTCTTTTCAGGTTGGTTTCTTCAAACGTGTCCGACCTCCACATGGGGATGCCGCAGAACGGGAGCAACTCCAGCCAGAGGATATGAATGGTGACGGGGCTACAGAAGCTTAAGTATTGCCCGAGATAAAAAGAAAACATTTCTGAACACTTAAATTGCACCAAACCCTGACGACAGGATTTCAAGTAGACAGAATTGACTAACTTGCTATGGAATAACCACTGGCAAAAATGCAGTCTGCACAAGGGTCTTCCATTGTATTTGGATGGTTGTAGGTTCAGGTACATTGAGCAAAAGCAACATAAATTCAGCTTGTTGGTTCCTACTGATAACTGTTAATGTATGTCATTGCACTGATAAGCTCTTCATATTACTTGAGGTGCGAAATGTTGAAATTCATTGTCATTGTTTATAGTGCCATTGGGTTTATAAACCCCTGTGTTTTTAAATTTTAACTTCAAAGTGCAATATCATTGACAGCTTAGTGTGTACTCACTGAAAAACGAATCACTAGAACAGTCACTTAAGACCAGGTCTTCTTAAATATATTAACTCTTGAATTTAACATGATGTGTTTTTTGTAGCATTCTGCAAGTGTTGCCGGTAAATTTGGATGAAGACAAAATGGTTTTATAATGAGAATGTAAATTTAAAATGTCCTGGAATGCATTTGATCGCCCACATTGGGTGAATAGAGAGCAATATGTTATGCAGTTTACTGTTGGGTTCCAAGATCAAGTAATTTTTTCAACATTTCAATTAGTGAGCATTTTTCTGATGCACTATAGATGAACTATTTTGATACTACTTGCTGGGGGCTCTTTATCTTAACAGAAGCTGTGTATTTTTTTGTTTGTTTGTACTATATTTACACAGTGCTTACCCTGAGCATAACTCAACCTTTTACAGACTTCTGGTATTATTGTGTGGAAAACCTAAATGCAAATCAATTCACTACTCCCAATCTAAAGAATAATAGAATACTGCATAGTATTTATTGTACTCTGATATATTTGTGGTTATTACAATCTACCTGTGAAAACAAAATCCCAGAATATGTGCAAAAGGTCAGGTACTCCATGTTGAACAATATTTTTGTTTACTTATTGTAAGCTGGCTTATTCGGAATCAACAACCACATTATTCTGTGTGTTTTGTAATTTCCTGGACTTGTGAAAAGTGAATCCAGCTAATTGTTTGACTAATAACACAGCATCCACTTTTAAACTCTTTAATAAGCCTATCAACAAACCTCTATGCTTTTGTTAAAAAAAAAGACTGTTTTTTGATTTTGTTTGTCCTGGTCATCTTTTAAGATTTATACCTTTTCTTTTAACAACTTGCATATGTACTGGCTGATTTTTATTTCACAGCTTTTTTTTTAAGGGAATAAATGGGGTATGGATTTCAATGATTGGATACTATCGTCGTTCTTCAAAATAGAAGAGGGTTCTCACCTAGAGTGATATCAGTGTCCTTGGTGACTTAGTTTAATGGCAGAATTTTGTATGTAGATTACTTTTAATCACTCCCCCCCCCGCTCCCTCCCAGAGAAATTGCATATTTGCCATTTATGCTTAAAAGATTAGAATCTGCAAATATATATTACTACTTCCCCAGTAACAAGTAGATCCAGATAATACAAATCTGACAGCTGGTTGCAAGCTTGTTGTAATGTTCTCAGGCACAGAAGCATTTATTTAAGTATAAAGTTAATATTAGGAGGGAGCGCTGTCCAATTCCCACTTGACCCAGCTTAACAATGTTGGGTGCTATCCACTTCCATAGTGTTATGGTTTGTTTGGTGCCATAAGCTGCTTTCCAAATTCATTCAGATTGCATTGTTCTTGTATTCCTGACATCTCGGATACCTGAAGTTGGATGTTTTTGCTGCTACCTTTTTCCTGTGGGGCCCCCAAGCTGCTCCTCCTGAAGGGACTGGTCGTATTTCCGGTTGATTCCATGGTGACTGCAACCCTCTGGGACTTTCTCCAACTGATAGCAGTTTATGTTCGAACCTGGATAAGACTTGCATTCCTTATTTGCTTTTTTTTGAGCAGTGTGTGAAGGTGGGGGGGAAGCAGGAGGAATAGATAATGAACATGTGCGGGAACCTAAGCTGAATGTTCTCTCTCTCTCTTCCTTAGCCCACATGCACTAAGGTCAGTTGTAACTGAGATGCTAACTCACTCAGAACACACCCTTTTGATTGTATGTTTTAGTCCTAAAATATCAGAGAAGCCCCCTTAATCCCTAAATGATATGTGGTTGCCAAAAATAATAATCCTTGCATTTGATATATAGCGCCTTATCACGTCTTTGAGACGCCTCAAAAGTGCTTCACAGAATATACTGCAAAGTGAATGTATTTTGTGGGTGAAATGCACAGCAGTGTCCCACGAACAGTGGTGGATTGAAGTAATCAATTTGCTATTTCATTTTGTTGACTTGCTACTTCCTGAGTATTTTATCTGTTGGTGATTCAATTAAGTCTAAATTTTATGGCCTTTCATCGATACCAGAAGTGAGTTTGATTCAGGGCCTGGGTAAGCCCATCAATCAGGTCCTGAGAATGCTTATTTTGTTAATCTTATGTGTGATTAGTTTCTTTAACATCTCATGTTGAATCACCATAGTTGCCAGTGCTCAATTTATTTAACACCTCATGAACACCTTGTATCCCTACCACTGTTTTCACTATGTCCTGTGTATTGCAGCTTTTCAACAAGAAGAGGCAGATTTCTCTTATTTCCTTGTCAATGTTTACTAGCTTTAGTTGATAGGACTCTGCAGTCCAATAAATAAGAGGTGCTAAAAATTCTTTAAATGTGTTGTGCTAGACTTTCAGTGAAGTGTGAAGCAGTCTGCTGATAAGATGCAATGCATTCCTTTTGACAAAAGGGTTATACGCTACGCAGTAATCCAAGTAATGTCTAATCACTGCTTCTCGCAATAGTTTGGCCTTCGAGTAGAAGTAATAGGCATTTAAAAATGCAATTTTACTGGAACTTAAGATTCTTATGATTAAAGTAACACATTGATGCCCCGAGCAGACACTATCATACGTGGAGGTTTCAGATGACATGTCAGCTTTTCAGGGAAATATGAAACTACTTGGTGAGTACCACTGAAAGTCCTGAGGGAATTGAGGAGAGCCGGAATGGCAATGACAGATGTAGTGAAATGAAAACTTGACTATTATAAATGGGTGCCATCTCCGAAGTGTATGGGAGACTCTGCCACTCGTACGAATTTACTTGCCTCAGAACATAAAAATTACAATTCTCTTGCTGCTCCACGTAACGCGACGTGGACAATTCTCCAGGTGACGCACTCCCAGTTTCCCTCGCACGGCTGAATATTTCTCGAGCCAAACTCTCGCGGGCGTCTGATCTCCGTCTGAAAAATGATTTGATTTCCCCTTTACTCAGGAGTGGGGCGGGTGGGGGGGGGGAAAAAATCGCAAAGCCGGGTCGGGTCAGTTGGAAATCGAAAGATGTACGACCTCGACAACGACCTTCGGCCGGAAGAGTTTTTTTTTCACGAGAGCGGCGTCAATAACAACAACAACAACAACCACGACAAGCTTCCATTTATAGAGCGCCTTTCGCGTCGGGAGGACGTCCCGAGGCGCTGGACAGTTGGGTCGGGACCCGAGCGTTGGGTGGGGGTGGGGGGTGGGGGGGGGAATGGTCAGGGTGAGGGGAGGGAGGGAGCGAGGAGGGGGGGGAGGGGGGGGTGGGGTGGGGGTAGAGAGGCGAGAGGGGAGCCGAAGGCACGGTCCACGAGAAAGGTCTTGAAGGAGGAAACCGACTCGAGGGAGACCTAAGGGCTAACGGTACCCATCGGCGGCCATCGACGAGCCAATGGTACCAAAGCCCGACCAGTGTTGGAAGCCGCGTTAAGAGCCGTGAGCCCCCACCTGCGTGGAGAGCGCAGCGGCTTGAAAAAAAAACCCCAGAGAGAGAGAGACGTCGGCTGTGTGTGTGTGTGTTTGTTTTTAAACGGAACGGCGATGCGCCCGTTGCGTCCGGGTTGTTAAATATTTTCAGCCCTTTGCGAATAAAGTTGAGCGTCATTCGTGCCCGTGAGAGGGGGTCCGTCTGCCCTGTGTGTGGGTGTGTGGGTGTGTGTGTGTGTGGGGGGGGGGGGGGGGGGTTGCCTATGCTCTATGTGTATGTATGTGTGTGTGTGTGTATGATTGTGTGTAGGTGTGTGTGTGTGTGTGGGTGTGTGGGTCAGGGGGAGGGGGGAGGGGGGGGTTTGGCTGCTGCTGCTCCTCTGCGCTTGTTGTTGCTCACATCACCTGTAATTGCGGTGGGTGCCTGTGGGGGGGCGCTGTTGGCCGGGGAGGCGGTAGGGGCGGACGGGCAGGAGGGAGGGAGGGAGGGAGGCGAGAGGTGCGGGGCGGGGAGGCGGGTATTGGGCGGGGAGGCGGGTAGGGGGCGGGTATTGGGCGGGGAGGCGGGTATTGGGCGGGGAGGCGGGTGGCGGCGGCAGCGGCACGAGAGGCGGAGCTCGAGGCGGGGGAGCCCGGGCGCGCGGTCTCCGTGATGCGGCGGCCGTTGCTCCGCTGCTCGGCTGTGACACCATGTGGGCCGCACTGACCTGCGTCTCCCTCTCCCTCTGCCTCTCCCTCCCGGGCTGTGGCGGTGACGGGCTGAGCGGCGCGGCGGCGGCGGCGACACCCGCCCGAGAGCGGCTCCAGCGGCCCCCGGGCCACAGCTCAGGTGAGAGCACCACAACAACACCACCACCACCAGCGGAGCCCACACACCACCATCATCATCATCATCACCGACTCCCCATCAGCCTCTCTCCCCCTCCCCCCGGTCTGGTCCCCCCCCCGGGTCTGGTCCCCCCTCTCCCCCCCCCCCCCCCCCCCGGGTCTGGTCCCCCCTCTCCCCCCCCCCCCCCCGGGTCTGGTCCCCCCTCTCCCCCCCCCCCCCCCCCGGGTCTGGTCCCCCCTCTCCCCCCCCCCCCCCCGGGTCTGGTCCCCCTCTCCCCCCCCCCCCCGGGTCTGGTCCCCCCTCTCCCCCTATGTAACGGCAGTGTTTTATTTATTCTGTTCTCCTTCGTTTCCTTTCACTGATAAAACAGGTGAGAGAGAAGCGCAGCCCCGACCCCCCCACACACACATACACATACACCCCACACACACTCACACCCCCACACACACAGCCCCCCCCTCCCCCCCACACCCCCCCACACACACACACACCCACACCCCACACCCCCACACACACAGCCCCCCCCTCCCCCCCCACACACACACACCCCCCCCCACACACACAGTCCCCCTCCCCTCCCCGACTGACCCGAGATTCACCGTTACGACCCCCCCACCCCCCCATCATCCTTATCCCTCACTGTCCTCCCCTCGGCCCCTCCTCTGCCTCCGTACGGTTCCCAAAGGCACAGTCCGCACCGTGTAATGCACGTCAACAGTATTTTTTTTTATTGGGTGGATGATGGGTGGTGGGGGGGGGGGGGGGGAGGGGCGGTGGGGGGGAAGAAAGAGGAGGGGGTGAGCCATGGCGCTGTGCCTGTTTGCTGCAGACTCTTGTTTTGCATTGGTCTCCGATCGCTTCAGACCGTTCCTCACAAGACAAGGTGATGGCTTTTGTTCACGCCCGGAACGTGTCATTTTCAATCGGATGCTCACAGTGTGCGGTGCTGGTGCTGTGATGGTGGGAGCACGTCATGATGCGTTTTGGAGCCCGCGTGTGGGTTATACCTGTGGGGCTGAAGAGCAATGCTGGATGCGGGTCTGGGTGGGAGGACCTGACCCCGCGTGTGGTGTACGGTGTGCAGCAGACACGTGCAACACTCGCTCTCTGCCTTCCGTGCACGTTTACGCCATTGCTGGCGGTCTCTGGCTAATCCGAAGCCACTCCTTCACCCCAGGCTCCCGTCCGTTTCAGACCCGCTGTCCCCCCAAAAAAATACAGTCCGTCCACTTTGCGCTATGTTCGGTGAAGCGCTTTTGAGGCATCTCGAAGACGCGATAAGGCGCTGTGTCAAATGGAAGGATTGCTGTTAGGTCCGTTTCGGACCCGTTTTGAGGACCCATCAGATCGTTTTATTTATCACGAATAATTACCATTGCACCTGCAATTGACTTGCGTTACTTGACAATCCCAATTGTAAAGACAAGCCCCAAATCCACAGTGCGTAGAACACCACCGAGAATGAAAGGCGCAGGCAAAAAAAAAACTGCTGTAGATCAAAATGTGATTTGCGGGACTTCAGCTTGTTATTTTCAAAACCTGTAGATTGATAGAAGGAAAGATCGACAAATGTGAAGAATTCCAGACCTGAACTCCTGGCAAAGAATGAGTTAAGAGGAGGAAAGAATGAGTTTTGATCTCAGTGCATTTTTTTTCTAGTGCTTCACGTTTGTTGCTATATTCCTCGGTGATTTCAAAGATCTTAACAACAAAATTACATTTGTATAGTGCCTTTCACGTCGGGAGGACATCCCAAGGCACTGGACGTTAAGTGTTTTGGACGCGAGCTGGAGGTTGGGGAGGGTGGAGGGCGGGGTGGGGGGGGGCAGAAGGTGAGTGATTGAAGGCACTATAGAGAAGGAGGGTCTTGAGATGGGTCTTGAAGGAGGCAGTGGAGGGGGTGAGGCAGAGGAACTACGGGATGGAGTTCCAGAAGGTGGGGGCTGAAGGCCCACCAATGATGATGCGGGCAAGGCGGGGGAGGGTGAAGCAGGCTGGAGCCCGCTGAGAGGAGGAAGCGGGCAAGTTGGTAGGGGGTTACGAGGTCGCAGAGGTAGGGGGGAGCAAGGTCATGAAGGTGTTTGAAGGTGAAGACCAGGATCTTGAACTGTATCCTCTGTGTGATGGGAATCCAGTGGAGTCGGGTGAGGATGGGGATGATAGGGTCACAGAGCCTGATGTGGGAGAAGACATAAGCTGCAGAGTTTGGGATGATCTGCAGCCTATGGAGTGAGGAGTTGGTGAGGCTGACAAGCAGGGAGTTTGCATAGTCAAGCCTGGATGTTAGAGATGTGTGTATAAGGGTCTCAGCGGCCTGCACTATGAGACAGTGGCGGAGCCGGGCGATGTTGCAGAGGTGGGGGAAGGCAGAACAGATCATGGCACGGATGTGGGGTAGAAAGGATAGTTGAGGGTCAATCAAGACGCCAAGGTTCTGGACTGGCTCAGTGAGGTGGAGTGTGCATCCTTGGATGGTGATGGTGTCAGTGGTTGAGGTGCTGATGGGAGCCAAACAGGAGAGCCTCGGTTATGTTGACGTTCAACTGAAGAAAGTTTGCTCTCATCCATTGATGCCTGACAGACATTCTGTCAGCACAGCAGTGGTCCTGGAGTCGAGGGTGGAGGCAGAGAGATAGAGTTGGGCGTCTTCCGGATACATGTGGAAGTTGACCTCATGTCTGCGGATGATGTCACCAAGATGGAGCATATATGTATTGAAGAGGAAGGGACCAAGGACAGAGCCCTGAGGAACACCACACAAGGCGGTGCGAGGGCTAGAGGAGAAACCGGTTGTGGAGATGAAGTGTAAATGGTGTGAGAGGTAGGATCTGAACCAATTGGCTGTGCACAATTGGCCCTCGTTTTGCCCACAAATAAATAGTCAATTCACTTTACAGTATATTCTGTGAAGCGCTTTGAGACGTCCAGAAGATGTGATAAGGCACTATATCAAATGCAAGGATTATTATTATAACCATTCAAGGACAGAACCATGAAGGTTGAGGTGAGAGGAGAGGTGGTGGAGGAAGAAAGAGTAGTCAACAGTATCGAAGGCAGCAGAGAGGTCGAGGAGGACGAGGAGGCAGAGAACCAGTCGCTTCCCTAGGGAACATAATTTTATTGTGAAAATAATTTGTTTCACCTAAATGCTCAGCATTGTACATTGCTCGACAAAAGTGGTTTTGAACGTGTTCCAATTGTAATGAATACATTTTAATAAACCACAGTATTACCCACAATAATTGCTGAAGGTGTTGGCAGTATAGGAGTTAAAGCAGTAATTAATAAAATGAAAGTCCATACTACAGTAAGTTAAGATTGCTTTGACAATATCTCAAGAAGATCAGAAAGGGGAAAAACAGACAGCAGCTGTAGTAATCATGATGGATAATGTAAGTAGGACGATAAGTCTTTGAAAGCAGATGGACAAAGGCTTTACTGTTACAGCACATTGCATGAATCTAATATCTGCTTTTACATATACAGGTTCCGAATCATCAAAACAGTAACATAAAATTGGAAAAATATTTAAGTTCCAGGCTCTGTATTGACTAATAATCATAATAATAATCCTTGCATTTGATATAGCGCTTTTTCACATCTTCAATGACCCTTTATAGTGAATTTATCATTTTGCGAGCTTCCAGTACAAGTTTAATATTGGCACGCGTCATATCTGCCTCAGCATTCATCCAAGGTGGAGCTGGCCAATCTCTTGTGAAAGGTTTCAGGTTGGTATGGTTTGCCAGCAAAGGCCACATTTCCTGTGTACAGCCTTTTACACATAAACGCTGCACACTTTGTTTCCTGGGATTGCTATGTAACACTGCTCTTTATTGCAACAACAACAATTTATATAGCGGCCTTCACTCGGGGTAGCGTCCTGGAGCTCTTTACCGGAAATCTTTACTACCTATTACAGGAAACAATATCCAAGTTAGACACAGGAAGATAAAGATAATTAAATAACCATTCCCACACACCATCTAATTTGACAAAAGCTTCCACCTGTCTCCTCATGGAGGAATTGTGACGGGCTTTTTCTCAACCTGCACTTTGCTTATGCATCAACACATTAGAAAATTATTTATCACTAAGAATTACTGTTTGGAATGATCTGTGTGGCTCTAATACAACTGCAAGGTTTGAGCGATAAAACAGCCTCAGTCTTCTTGCAACTTGAGTAATTGTGATGTAATGAACAGTTCCTCAATTCGTATTGTCAACAGTAGAAATGTTAATAGAAATCTCGAGTGAGCAAGCCCGAAGACACTCTCTTCCACAATCCCTCCGCCTTGCCTTCTCTCTCTGCTTTCAAAACCTGTCTTTGATTGTGCTTTTGGCAATCCTCCACCCCCAGCTTGGGTTTCTACTCAGCCTTTTTAAAGGCTTCTTTGATGTTCTCCCTGTGTCAAAGGCATGAAGTATAGCATGTTTTTGTATTGTGTTTCGATCAACAACAAACTGCCAGGCAAGAATATTGGAAAGGCAGTATATTTAAATAACGGTCCTGCTACACCACGGAGACTGCCAGACTAACGGACAGTGACTGTGCTCTCCTTCTGTCGGACCATATTGAAGTCTGAACATATTCCTCAGATGGTGTGAGGCCCATCGATCCTCTCCCAATGTCTTGCTCCACATGACCCAAGTGCAGGGTGGAACAACAAACAACAAATTGCATTTATTTAGCGCCTTTCATACCAGAAGGAGTTGTCCGATTGTCCTAGGTAGAAATCACTAAAGATCATAAAACTGTACAAAAATATATTTAAAAAACTATATCCTGAGGGTGCACTGATCTTTAGGAAGAATGCGTTAGAAATATCAAAATACTCTTCTAATCAGTTATTGTATTCAAAATGTATACAAGTGTGGTAAATGCATTTTCTGTATAAAACTGAAATAAACTGATCATGCAAAATTAAAAGTCTCTCTGGAAGAGTTTGGCTCCTATAAAATGAATAACTCACTGTTTTACTCTATTTGCAGATGCTTTA